ATGGCCACTCAGCAATCCCTTCTCCTCCATTCTCCTCTCAAGATTTTGGGCATATCTGCACACGTGCCTGGTGTGAGTTTTTATTTTTTTCTTCTTTAAAAATTATTTTAACTTTATTTATTTTATTTTGACCAGAGAGAGAGAGAGAAAAAAAATGAGAAAGCCAATTGCCAGGTCCAGGACTGGAACCGCCATCGCCCTTAACCACCATGCCTCTTGCTGGCCCCCAGTCAGCCCACAGCATGAGTTTTAGGCCGCTGGATCCAGGACTTAAACCAGGGTGGACTACATGAGAGTCCAGCAATGTAACCAACCATTATGCCATCTGCGGTTCTGTTTTTGGTTATTTTAAAGGATGGTCTGGTGGGTATCCTTCTGGACTCACTGGCGATATCTCTTGCTTTTCTTCTTGTTTCAGTTATCATAAGAGAATTCAAGCCTAGGTCGTTTCCAGTGAGACTTCACGTCGCAGAAAGTAGCACTGAGAGCGCAGCTCATGCAATGCCTCCGAAGACCTTCTCTCTATTCCCAGTGACTCTCAAATATCAAATATTACCTAAACTTCTTTGCCTGTTGGTCAGGCCTTTCTAGGGCCCTCAATCCTGTTTCTACAGCTCTGTCTTAACCAGAGATGCTGCGAACAGCCCAATCCCAGGGCCCAGACTCGCCACACTTCTTTAGGCCTCCTTGCTCTCGCTCATAGCTTCTCTCCAGCCATGAGTCCTGGCGTGCGCGGTGCCCTGCAGACACCCAGGAGTCCTGGCGTGCGCGGTGCCCTGCAGACACCCACGAGTCCTGGCGTGCGCGGTGCCCTGCAGACACCCACGAGTCCTGGCGTGCGCGGTGCCCTGCAGACACTGAAACAAACGCCCGTTCTGTCTCAGGCGTCGCCACTCATTCTGCTGTTACTTACCGGCAGCATTACAACATCCTACTTTAAGAAGCGATTGATGTGTATGTGAGACTTACTGATAACTTTGGAAATACAGTTCATTTTTTTCTATGAAAAATGTGCTTATATGTGGATCTTTGTGGGTGTTCTCTGTAAATAAAATGTATATATATTTACTTCTAGAAAGGGTCTCATCATTTAAGTGAGGTTTAGTTTCCATTTACTACTATTATTTTTACTTTTTATAAAATTTACAATAGACTAATTTCTTTCCACTTCAAAGGGTTTCTTTCCACTACAGGATTTCTTTTTGCCAAATAATACTAATACTATTGATAATAAACACTTTTCTTATCATAAAGTAATACATAATTTGGGGAAGTTAAAATATAGAATTATGAGAAATAGTATTACCCTTCATGCAGTTCTAGTGGATGGCATTTTATCTAATAGTATTTTAATTTACTTTTATGTTTATTACATACACTTTTCTCAAAGTTAGTGTTAATTTTTGTAAAAAATACTGATCTATTTAATGTTGTTATTGAAATTATTTTCTTAAATTTTGCCAGAGGGTGCACGTGTTCACCAGAGAGCCGGAGAGGGAGAGAGCGCAGCCCCAGGGCGATGGCCACGCTGCAATCCACTCCCCGCCACTCTTCCTTCCTTTCAGGATTTTGGACACACACACATGCTTCACGTGTGCTGTTCCACCTGCCAGGTCCAGAACCTGACTTACACAGCCAGCCATGTGGGGTCCAGCTCTCTGCCCCAGGCCACTGACTGGCCTTATATGTGTAACTGCTGTCATTAAATACTCTGTAATACCTTATTTTAATTTCAGCCTGTTAGTACAAATTATTTTTCTCACATAATTATTTTTAACATTTTGGTTAATGACAGTTTTTCTATTGTAAATAATGCTTCAGTGAACACATCTTTAGATAATATTTGATTGTGTCTGACATTAAAAATGGATATATGGGACCAGCGTAACCATGGTCTAATGATTATGTTGCTGGACTCCCAGACACTCGACTGTGGTTTGAGTCCCAGATCTAGTGGTTTAGAACTCATGCTGGGTGCGTGTGTGCGTGCCCAAGATCCCAAGAGGAGACTGGAGGAGAAGGGATTGTGACATGGCCATTCCCCTGGGGGTTGATTTCTCGCTTTCTGTCTGTCTCTCTGGCAAGAGCACATGCCCTATAGCAAAAATCTTTAAAAGTAGGTTTACGTTCAGTTATGAATAAGGTCAAGCATTTTTGTTTGCTCTCTGGGACAGCTCCAGGGGATCTTTGGATGGTATCTCGGCATGAGGCCTTCTGCAATACTTCAGCATCTTTCCAAACAGGTGAAGTTGCAGGCAGCCCTAGAGCGCGTGCGAGGAGAGGTGGAGGAGGCCGATGTTCAGGAGGCCGCTGTGGGGAAGAAGGCCGTGGTTTGGAAGGTAAGGGGCAGGGCTGTGGGAGGGTGCCCGGCTGGGTCAGCGGCCGCTCCTGCGCCATTTCTGTTCTCCAGCTCCCTCCAAGTCTATGGCTCCTTTCACTACTTTCGCCTCCATCGGCATCTCCCAGCTCTCGTCCCTGGCCTTACGGTCTCGAGCACACTGTAAAGCCCACGCGGTGGCCCTGGCACTAGAGCAGACCCTCATCCCCTCTCGTCTAGCTCACAGATGTGTGTTCGCTGGATGGAGTGTGGGCCGACACAGCCTCGTTATAGGTAAAGCACAGCTGATAGTGGTCGTCTACACGCAGGAAACGCAGAACCCGAGCCTCTTCCCAGTCCTCTGTCCACACGTCCCGCTTTTCTCTGCCTCTCCAGCTTTCATACATACATATGGATAGTCTTACCTCATTCCTCCTCACACACGTGCACCCACGCGCACACATGCACAGTGGTTTTCACTTGGGGCAGTCTGCCTCCCCTACCCCTGAGACATTTTGCAGCTTCTGAAGATGTGTCTGTCGTAGACGTGGGGGCCACACGTGCGGCTGCCACTCCCAGGGCCAGCGGGCTGTCAGACACCGCGGTGCATGGAAGTCCTGTCACAGAACCAGGAGGTGCCTGGTCACAGCAGTGTCGGGGTGAGACTGTGACCTGTCGTAGGTCAACATGATACGTAATAACAGGACCTACTCCTAATACAGACTGCCCGTGTTCAGTCCTCCAATCATCCTTCTTCGCTGATCACTCTCTGTATTTCTCTTATTTTTCCTGAAAATTCAGTCTTCAACTCTGTCCTCAGAGACATGTTGTCATAAGGTCCATGTTTTGGCTACGTTTTTCTTCAGGGATAAGTCTTATCCTTTTCTGTAACCACCTTCTCTATGGGTAGAGCTAAACATTGGTCAAAAGTGACAGTTCTTTCTCTTTTTTCAGGCTAATAATCCAAGTCAATTGTTTCTGCCTGGGTTTGACTGGGTCTCTGAAATCAGAATCTCGATATCCAAATCTGGATTCCTGCACTTTTTTCAACCCACCATAGAATATTTTTAATGTAGAGATGACACGAGGATTTCAGTTCTAAGCCAAGCAAACTTGTATCGCTATGGTCAAAATGTCCTTGTGGGCCAGCCCGATGGCGCCGTGATGAGCTCTGTGCATGAGGTCCAGCTCTCACGTGGCTGCTGTGGCCTAACTCAGACCTGGCAGCATGAACACACGTCAGGAGCATGCGTGTGCACGCCCCAACTCCTGATGGGGATACCCCCATCTCCCTGGTGAGCACACACATCCTGTCTAAAATACAAACAAAAAAAGAAGAATGTACATAAATACAAATGCAGCGTGCATGGGCTTGGTAAAAATGAACTCCGAATTCTGTGAAAAGTCTTTCTATATCTGCAGAGAGAGTTGTGGCACTGAGAGGGTGGTGTGAAGGGAAGATGAATGCAGCAAACCACGTCCACATCACGCCTCACCCGGCGTGAGGCTCTGCCGTCCCCTTTCTCAGGGACACAGCTTCAACTGTGGGGCCTGCTTATACTGCATGAGTTACACCTCCAGAAACCCGAATACAGGAGCTGGAGTGCTGGATTTCAGAAAGACGCCAAGACTGTATGAATGTGGTGGTTTAGAAAATGATAAAAGGAGACAGAAATGGAGAACTGGATGAGGGAGCTGAGACTTCCAGAATTTGGAGAGAAACGTTATTAGAATTAAAGCAAAGTGATATTTTATATTTTTTAGTCAAACCAAGATATTAAAAACAGAGCAGAGAATTTTAGGTATAGATACTCTGAGAGGGTAAGTGGCCTCTCATACTCAGTTTAAATCTAGTTTCCTAGATATTAATCTCAAGAGAGTACAATTTAGTTAAAACAATACTGTACTGTTCCTCAGGTCTATTCAGACATTGGAGATGTAAGGTTCGCATAGAGACCAAGACAAAGTCCCTGAAATTACCCCAATACTGGTACCTGAGGCTTGCTTCACTCTTTGTTGGCTTTGTAGGGAATTAGCCTTATGGATGGTTTTAAGAGTACCACATTTTGAAAGAACATTCACGCTTTTCTACTATTTAAGCCTTTTCTTATTCATATTTACAAACCTGAGTCTCTCTAACCTCTCTTCATAGCTCAGTTGTTTCTGATATTTCCAGTGACTATGCCCACAATAAACGAACACATCCATTGTTATTATTCATATGCTAGTCACTGTTCTCAATGATTTAGTATAGGGATCCCAACCCCCAGGCCAGGACCAGTATGGACCCACGGCCTGTTAGGTACTGGGCACACAGCAGGAGTGGGGGCTGAGTTAGGGAGTTTCCTCTGTGCTTACACCCGCCCGTCCCTCCCTTACCCACACCCGCCCCGTCTCCCCCTTACCCACACCTGCCCCGTCCCTCCCTTACCTACACCCGCCCCGTCTCCCCCTTACCTACACCCTCCCTGTCCCTCCCTTACCTACACCCGCCTCGTCTCCCCCTTACCTACACCCGCCCGGTCTCCCCCTTACCTACCGCCGCTCCCTATCTCAGGTACTGCCTGAGCTGTGCCTCCTGTCAGGTCACCAGGCCTTCAGATTCTCACAGGAGTGCAGACCCTGTTGGGACCTGCCCGAGGAGGGATCTCGGTTGTGCTCCCTGTGGTGATCTGTAATCTTTGTTGCGATGTAATAACAGAAGGCACACAGTAAGTGCCACCCTCCTGAATCTCCCAAACCTACTCCCCCACCCACACCCCGCCACCCCAGGTCCGTGGAAAAGTTGTCTCCGGGAAACTGGTCT